TGCGCGTATAGCGCTTGGGATCAACACCTCCTTTCGGCAACGCTTCTCTAGTATCCGGTCTCTCTGGATCACGGGGGATACATGTAGTTGGCGACAACTGCCCGTTTCTAGTATATAATTATTATAGCTCTAGTCTATATGTGATGCATAGCTATGCATGCAGCCTAACAATATTTACTCTTGATATACATGCTATGTAGCGTATATTAGTGAATACTCTATGATTATTATATTAGTACAACATCTAATAATACCTAGAGTGTACAACGGGAAACGGGAAATAGTATTATTAGTTCTTGATTAGTATATCAGCAAAGATTAGTGCATAAACTAATTGGACGAGCATATCTATCATGGAATCACATCACCGGCAACTGCTTATTTGCATAATTTTACATCAAGTGGCGGCGGCGGCGGCCGTAGCACGTGAATGGCCCTGCTGATGTGGATTGATGCATGGTTATGTTATGTTTACCTAAGCAGTGGTTTATGGTGGAGCTACAAGTGAATGGTACACGCAAGGTCAAGGCTGAGCCGGATTAGATGGCCAAAGTTAAAATAAGTTATGCTTGCAGATGCGCTGTTTCAGTGACGGGTGATTTAACAAGCCACTTGACTGCAAAGTTAGCATTGCATAGTTCCTAAAGTTCTAGACTTCCACCATGAGTCGTCTTCGGCATGGAATTCGTGAAGACAAACGCAGCGTGGAATTGTTGAGCAGCAGTCTTAGTTCCCGACTAGAATAGTTGACGCCTAACGTATGTGTGTGACGCCCTCCCCCACAATTCCGTGTAGTGTTGTGTATTGACATAAATTCTTATGTGTGATTAGAGTAATGGGAAATTAGAGTAATCAACTTGCACGTGTAATTAGAGTAATTAACTCGCACGTGTCTCGAAGAATGAAATTCCTTGCCTAGCGTGACGGTGTTACCTTTATGAATTATCGCGATTATCGCCAACTTTTTACGTCGGTATCGTAATTATTCAGTAATCGTTAAGTGAATTGTCGAAGCCAAGATGCTTGGATGTTTTTCTTCTCCTTCTGGAGTTCTGGCGTATCGTAATTATTGCATTTTAAATGTTCAACGATATGTTTACTGTTTAGCATTGATCGTTGAAGAATTCTGAGGCGTCCCGTACGCGTGCGTGTCGAGTGGATCACTTAACCTGTACCTGTGCAATACCTCTACAGGTGCTAATGGTTTTTACGACGGCGGCAACTGCCGTAACAAGCATCGCATGTGAGGGAATGCTACGCTGCTTAAACTGCGAAGGATTTTCGTGATTGTAGTTCGTCCCTTCTGTACTTGGCTAGCAACCCCTTTGTTCAAACACACACGCGCACCACAACACCACCCATAGCCTTAGGTCACGCCTCCTAGATGGTCCCTGTGACAGCCACTGAGGTTCGTGGGTGGCTGCCGACCAGGTGGGCGGGGGTCAGTCTACGTTGATGGACAAACAATGCTGTAGTTTAGCGGGTTGTGGTTCGCTTCACCCATCTATTATGTGGGTCAGTGAACACACAGGGTCAGGCGGACGGACTAGCGGCTCGAGGTTGCCCCCCTGCTCGCTCATACGGGACTCCATTTCATCTCTCTCTCTCTCTCCCCCTTTCTTTCTCTCTCGCGTCGACGTCTTCTCTCCTCCGGCACCAGGTGGCGATACGAGTGCTTAGGGGGCGCTGTGAGTGCATGCCAACGTCGTCAGGCTTGGCCTAGGGGGAGCCACGTGACGAAGTCAGCGTGCGTGGGGTTGGCGGGGAGACGGAAAAGGTCAAGGTCAAAGATGAGTGACGATCTTTGTTGGATGGTCGGCCGCCCCACCCACCACTACTGCTGACCCACCACCCTGCTGCCGCTACCCCACCAACCACCCCCACATCACAGCCCACCACCCCCTCTCCGCCGCCGCTATCCCACCCACCACCCACCACTCCGTCATCCACCACCCTGCTGCCGCTACCCCACCCACCACCCACCACTCCGTCATCCACCACCCTGCTGCCGCTACCCCACCCACCACCCCGTCATCCACCACCCCGTTGCCGCTACCCCACCCACCACCCACCACTCCGTCACCGGCGCCACACACCGCCCGCGCCGCTACTCACCACACCCCACCACTCTGTCCATCCACCACCCTGCCGCCGCTACACACGACCATGTCACTACCGTCATCGCACCACCCTGCGCCGGCTACAGGGACGACGCCACAACCACCCACCACTCTCGCCACCCACGTGCACAGCCGCCGCCGCTAACAGCACTTCCTCCGCCACCTCACGTCACCGGGCCCGCGCCGCTACACCACCCCACCGGCACCCCGCCGCCGCTATCACCACCCACACCACTCCGTCACCACCACCACTCCAGCCACTTACACCACCCACGGAGCACTTCCGCCACGCCACACAGTCCTCCGCCGCCGCTACACCACCGCACACCGCTACGCCACCCACCACCCGCGCGTACACCCACCCACACTCCGCCACCCCCACCACCACTCCACCGCTACACACGCACCCACGCTACTCCGCCACCCTCACCACGCCACCGGCCCGCTACAGCCACCCCACCACCGCGCCGCCCGCCCCCTCACCAGCTACACCCCACCACTTCGCCATCCTCCGCACCGGCGCGCCGCTACAGCCACTCACGCACTGCCGCCACCGCACACCCCCGCCGCCACGCTATACACCACCCACGCTACTGCCGCCACCTCACCACCCCGACGCCTCTACACACGCACGCCAGCACCCCGCCGGCCGCTACAACCACCACTGAGGTCCACTGGCCGCCAACCCACGGAGCACCCCGCCGCCGCTACTGCCCACCCCGACCACTTCCGCCACCACCACGCCACCCGCCCTACAACCGACACCACTGCCGCCACGACACCCGGACCGCGCCGCTACACCACCCCAGCACCGGCCCGCCGGCCAGCTACACCACCCACTCACTTCGCCAGCCCCACAGCACCGCCCGCGCGTACTGCCACGCCATACCACCACCACTAGGCTGTCACCACACACCCCCTGCCGCTACACCACCGCATACACTCGCGTCATCCACCCACCGCTGCGCTGCTACACCACCCACCACCCATCACTCGCCGCCACGCCACCACCCCACCGCCGCCGCTACGCAACCCACACCCCCCAAACCACCACGCCTCCGCCGTACACGGACCACCCACGCACCCACCACTTACCACCGCCACCCACCACCGTCCGCCGCGCTACACACTTACCGCCACCCGTCCGGCACCAACCCTCCGCCGCCGGGCTACACCACCGCACCACCCCTGCCGGCCGCTACAGCACCCACCACTTCCGCCACGCCGATTTCACACTCGACGCTACAAGGCCACCACACACTACGCGCACCACGACACCTCCTCGCGCCGCGCTACACCACCCAGCACCCCGCCGCCGCTACACCACCCACCACTCCGCCACCCACCACCACTCCACCGCTACACCACCCACCACTCCGCCACCCACCACGCCACCGCCGCTACACCACCCACCACTCCGCCACCCACCACCCCGCCGCCGCTACACCACCCAGCACCCCGCCGCCGCTACACCACCCACCACTTCGCCACCCACCACCCCGCCGCCGCTACACCCACCACTCCGCCACCCACCACCCCGCCGCCGCTACACCACCCACCACTCCGCTGATGAACCAGTTCTACTGTCATGACCCGAAAATGTTGCCATCCCTGCTATAGTAGTAGTAATTAGGCACAGCATAGACTTGGCAGTGAGAGAGGGAAGGGGGCCAGAGGGAGGGGGGAGGCAGATATAGAAGGGGTGTTCTGGCACGCACAGTCGCTCCCATTGATCGCAGCGAGAAAGAGAGAGAGAGAGAGAGAGAGAGAGGAGTGGTGGAGGTTGCTGTACGTATCTCTGTGTCTCTCTCGGCCAGCCAGTCGCCAGTCGTTGGTTGTCGTACGTGTGAGCAATAAGGAAGTGATCCAGTTAACCGATGCTGTTTGCAGACATTCACACAGATCTACACCAGCCATCAGCAGACGCACACGTGTCTGCGTGAGTGGCTCCTATCTCTGCGTATGTGTGTGTGCGTGCGTGCGTGGCGTGCGTGCGTATGCGTGCGTGTGGCAGTTCTCAATATATATAATTTAGAGAGAGAGAGATAGAAGCTGCTATAGATCTGGCAATTCTTGGAGATAGCCTTGCCTACGTCTGTGTCTTGCAACTCTTGGGGATAGATAAGAGATAGATTTGCCTATATCTGTGTCTGGCAATTCTCTAACACGGATCCGGAACGGTACGTCGGAGTGTCGTTTCGTATCGCGGACCGTCGTGCATTGTGCGCCGTCGCCGTCGCCTGCGCGCTGTAGCAGGCGATTAGTGCCGTAAGTATGTGTACGCACGCGCACCCACGCACACGCACGCACGCCCGCACATGCACCCACGCACACCCACGCACACGCACACATTCCTCCATAGATTCACTCCATCATACATACACTCAACAATCACTCGACTCAAATCGCAACTGACATCAAACGCGAAGAGAGGGGCAGATATGATGTAGTGACTGTAGTACCCTGGTAAAAGTCAATACAGCGTTGACTCAGGCACGTTATCTCTCTCTTTCTCTCTCTCTCTCCCTCTCTCTTGTTGCTGTTTGAGGCAGCAATTACTTGTGTCAAGTGTTTCGAAGGAGCGTGCGTGTCGAGTGCGATTAGTACAAGAACACATGTATAATTGAGGATTTGACTTTTTATCTCTCCTAAGTCGTCGTCATCATCATCGTCATCGTCATCATCATTATCATCATCGTCATCATTATTATCATCATCGTCATCATTATCAATCATCGTCGTCGTCACCGCGGCTGCAGCGTAACGATGTCATTGTGCACAGGTTTTGTTACCTGTAATCAGGATAGCCTCGGCCAGGTGTTGAGCGCGTGGGCGGGCGGGCAGTGCTGGAGAGAGGGGGAGGGGGAGGGGGAGGGACCTGTGTGGTGACATTCCAGCACGTATTACGTGACAGAACACGACCCAGGGCTTAGTGATCTACTACTTGCTCTGCCTGCCTGCCTGCCAGCCTGGGGCAGCAGCAGCACCACCAGCAGCAGCAGCAGTAGCAGCACCACCACCACCAGCAGCAGCAGTAACAGCAGTAGCAGCAGCATGACTAGCAGCAGCAGCACCACCAGCACCACCAGCAGCAGCAGAGCAGCAGTAGCAGCAGCAGCAGCAGCAGCACAATCACCACTAGCAGCAGTAACAGCAGCAGTAGCAGTAACAGCAGCACCACCACCACCACCACCAGTAGCAGTAACAGCTCCTACTCGCCCACACCGCATGTTTGATCGCCGGAACATACTTTAAGGACGTCCAGTTCATGATCAAATCTATGGCGGTCATAGCAGCAAGCAGTCTCCCAGGCTACCGTTCAAGAAAATTCCTAACTCCTACCCACAGCACACTAGCAGCAGCAAAGGCGTTTTCAAGTATTCACAAGCCACCACCACAGAATGTTTGCAAGATGTATATCATTATCATTAAGTCATCCGTTACATCTCTGTAACGCACCGTAAATTACAGAAGGAGTTCGCGTGCCTTGAAAACGGCGCATGCACACCGTCCGGAGCAGACAGGCCGGGCGCGTAAACCAAGCAAGGCTTGGACGCGGGGATGGTAATCGCCTATCTCACGCAACCGTGTAACGGCCCGCGCGCCAGGACCGGTTTCCCGGGGCAGCAGTAACAGCAGCAGCAGCACGACGCCCGAACAGGTCACCACAGCATATCCTAAGGTGACGTAAAACCATAGTCTTACGAAAACTATTCTACACTACCGACCACTGGCAGATCGAGTACGAGCTACACGCTATGGCTGAACACAGAGTGCAAGCTCAGTGGCCGATATGAATTAGCCATTAATGCGTTTTATCCTGACGACCAGCCAGCTCGGTAGGCCAAACAGCAGCCGCACAACTACTACCCGACGAAGACAACTCGAGCACTAGGACATTCCATAGTAAATAACAGTATACAATATGCATCCGAGCGAGCTATACACGCACCGAAGCAGCGAGTAGACCAGCAGTCACCGTGCACCCACCCCCCACTTTACTGGGAATACCAAATCATAGCATCCAGAAGTATAAAAAGCCCAACTACCGCCCCACGTCAGCCATCCACTAGTCTAGATGGATCAGTGTGAATGATTCCATCGCACAATGTAGTCTGTCCTTTAGCTTGCGCGATAGGCCCAAGCGGGTGGACCACCGCAAGCTCGGGACAGCCACAGTACAGCACACCACCACTGCCACATTGGCGGGCAGCAAGCTAGTTCAGTGAACATACCTAAGCGCGACCACCAAACAGGCTATCAATCGATAGGCGACACAGATTCCTCTGACGCCCATTTTTTATCAGCTAGTACACCAAACATGCGCGCGAGCACGGGACCTACACCTCAGCCATAGAATCGTCTTGCTAAAGCCTAGGACGTCTCTCTTAGTTCACGACGTTCCCACCGAACAGGCTAGCGGCCAGCTAACAGCAAGCCAAAACAAGACCGACTACTCACAAAGCATGTATCACACAAGCAGCCAGCAGTATTAACAGCAACACCACGCCACATCGAGAGAAATCTAGGACTGCACGCCTGAAAAACACAACGTATTTGACGATCAACGAGCAGAGCAGTTTTCCTATGAGGTCAAGGCACCCGGTTTTGTGGTACAACCCGGTTTTATCTGGCACACGAAACAGACCCGACGTAAGTTTGCCTCTCTACCCGCCGTCAGACTAGTTCAGCAGTTACACAGCAATAGGCGATGAAAGCTTTACGATCGAGGCGTGTCCCGCATTAAGCGTGCACGCGCCAACCCATAGTACCCCACCACAGCAGCAGTAACCAGCCCACCCCCCAGCAGCGAGGCAGTAACGTTAGGCATGTGCACGTTACTCCATGTTGGCGACACACCTGGCCCACCACCCCCTTTCAGAGAGTGGGGACCGCTGCCCGCTCAGGACAATCGCTGTAGAAACAGCGCGGGCCAGTACGGCGAGCCGCAGAAACAGCACCACCTGAGAGGGGCGACATTAGTACCCCACGGGCCGCAAGCCCGATAGAACACGGGTAATAGGGAATGCTTGTTCCAGTGGGATGACGAGAAAGTGCCTCTAGCGCGTTTAACCGTTCCCATTTCCAGACCCAAGCCATGCAAAGTCAGCCAGATTTGAGAGCAAGCACAAAACGCGACACAGCTGATAAGCAGCAGTGAGACGAGCGTGAGACTATGATAAGCCAGCATACCCATAGCCTAACAGTAACCAAGACAGCACAGTCGACAGACTAACACCCAGCCATCACAGGGAGTATACCCGCGTTTGTACCGCAGCCGGGAACACAAGCATTGCAGTCATATCATGCAGCAAGCAGATCTTCAGCCCAACCGACGCAGCAGCCAGTAAACGCAGTGTAACGGCTAGAAAGCATCACTAGCGGCTCTATCTCAACCATACTCTACACCGCGCATCGAGACTCCAGCTCGCAGATATGCTTAAGAGTCTGGGCCAGCAGTAACAGGCGACCACCCCACACCAGCAGTAAACAGCAGCACAGAAACAGCAGTCATATACGCGGCCACACGCAGCAAACGTCAACCGCCACAAACCGACCTGACGCAGCTCATGAGCAGTTAACCACACTGACACAGGCTTTACTGCGAGCGACAAGAGCGCACCGAGGGGTGGTTTCGACGCCGCCTCGGAAGATCTCAAAGATCACAGACACAAGCAGAGCCAACAGGAACCATCTAGCGTCAATCCTCTGGCAGTGCATAGAACGCTAGGCCACAGCACCAAAAGCAGCAGTATCGCGAGTCTCGAGCAGATAGCCAGTGCGCGAGTTTATAGGATAGTAACTGCCCTCCTCGCTAATATTTAGTTGGGCATTGGAAAGCTAGCGAGACATGCGATACAAGTGAGATTAGTACGCCGACATTGCACGCTAGCGGACAGTTTTATCGTATTGTTGTCGAGCTCCACGAGCAGGCATCAGTGGCAGAAGTCATGGGCAGTTCATCACCTGCTGCGTATGGCAGCGCACGCACGACTGGATGATTCATCTGATAGTAATGAATTATACACGAGTCCGCCGGACTGAACTAATGAGCGATAATATAAGCTGCATTGCTGTATGCGTACGAGTACGGCTTACGGGCAGCAGTCTAACAACCTAGTCATTTGATGGCAAGTCAAACTTATGCTAGTCTAGAGTTTGCTCGAAGCAAGACACGCCACCTGGCCGAGCAGGGGATGGGGTCGTTCAGTCGAATGTTGTACTAACTAAACTACAATTAAGCCACTCGATCCTGCCTCGTGTATTGCGTCCCCCCCGCCCCCCTGTTGTTGCGTCTAGAGCATGGTAATTGGCGTCTGGACTCAGAGCCGCGTACAGCTGTTAGCAGTGTTGGTAAGCCCTGTAAGGCAGGTAGTGACCAGGAGCCTTACTAGGTTACTGGGCCAGCTAGGAGCAGGTTCAAGGCTTGTCGATATTGTGACGCTGGCATTGCAGTGCGTAGCTAGTGTCTGTTCGAAGTCGTCTATGTACTGAGCAAGAGCAACGCTTTGCGAGGCCGAGCCACCACAGTTATGATCTCTTCATAGCCATTTGACTATAGGTTACTAACTCGGAGTGAACTAATACAGAGGTTTTCGCGCTAGCGTGTCGATATATATCTTTATGAGATTTACACAAAAGAAAAACGATCGGTCTCTCCTAACTTGAGCTCACTAGCCTGCCTCTGGTTACATAGTAGCAATACTCATACGATCTTCGCACAGAGTGGGAGGCAGAAGTGCTAAATTATTATTGGGTTTTCACTTATATGAGCGAACATTCTAATTCCAATTGAACGAGGCACAGTATACGTGCGATTCTGCGTAGAGCCTAGTGGCCTTCACCGCGTACCATACCCTGCATTTGATACCACTTAGATATGCGCGCCGATAGATCAGAAACCTCTAGTATCTACCGAAGTTAGCTAGCGGCTCATCAGAATTTGACTCTATCGGCGCCCGCATCAGCGTTCTCTCAGTGGGATAGGGCACCGCACACATAGCACGGAAACAGCGGCAGACGCCAGCATATTACTTTAACGTACCGCGCGGTTTTACAACGTGGACATATATAGGGATACACGTCGCTCGAACCGCGAGGCTCAGACTACGATACAGCCTGACGAAAGCGCACGATCGACCGGGGATACGGTTTACCACGCGCAAACGACAGCAGTGCTGTTGATGTTAAATCGCGCGGTATATCCGTTATCGTGTCACACGCAACCGCATGCACGAAGGCACAGCACGCACGCATCCGCATCGGAC